CCTAGGGGAATAATGAGGCGACCGCCTGGGAGAGCTCACGTGAGCCAGGCGCTGTGCGTGCACCTTTTGTTTAATCTCCAGAGACACCCTCGATTCGCAGATAAAGTAACAGAGGCTACGAGAAATAACTTTCCCAAACTCCCTCCGCGCAAGGCACCTGGGCACTGTGATGCCGGGTAGCTTCCCGCTCTGCACTCCTTGCTATTTCTGCCGTGGCAGATGAGCACAGACGCGTGTCTTGAAACAACACCTACTTATCAGCTCGCGGTGCTGTGGGGCGGGGGTCCGGGCCTTACGTGCCTGTGCTCCCGCTCTTCTCACAAGGCCAAAATCGAGGTGTGGGCGGGGTCAGCATCCTCATCTGGAACCCGTCTTCTTCCAAGCTCCTGGGGTTGTGGCAAAATTCAGCTCTTAGTTGCGGGACTGAAGTCCTCCCTGCCTTGCGGGCTGTCAGCTGGGGGCTGCCCTCAGCTCCCAGAAGTCGCCCACATTCCCTGCCATGCGGCCCTTCCATCTTTAAAGCCCACAAAGAGTCTTCTCTCATCTAATTCCTCTCACGCTTTGGCTCTCTCGCTTCTTGCACTTGCGTAGTTCCGTGATTAGGTCAGGCTCACCGCAGACTACCCACCCTTCTTAAAGTCAACCGTGCCGGGTCATGTAAGCTAATATTGGGAGCAAGGACCCCACTGCAGCTCCCGGGGATTAGACGAGGGGTGCGTACTAGAGGGCAGAGCGCGCGAGGGTATCTGAGAATTCCACCTGCTCTATCCCCAGCGCACTCTGTTCACCACACCCTGCTAGCCTTGAACGTCCTTGCGGGCAGGGGAACAGCCTGGTCATGCACTATTTGGAGCATTTTCACATTCAGCAAGTACGGTCATACAGATTCACATAGAGTGGCATCAGATACCTCAATATGAGACACGAGTGTGTCCCCTCCAGTCCTCTTCCACCGACTTTATCCTGTGTTCCAAATCTAAGCATGCAGATTTTGACCCAGCATATTAGAGCAGGAAAGGAGGAAGTCCATAACGATGTTTGCAATTCCCATGTTCACGGAGACGGAAACTGAGTCTGACACAAGACCCCCAGCTCGGTGCTCCCTCCAGGAAGCCCGGCTCACCCCAAGTGCAGCTCTGGTCGAGCCGCCGCCGCTGCCGCAGCTCTTGACAGTCTAGACCACCCGCGACACGGTTCCGCACTGTAGGTGGGCGTGTTTTGAAATTCTTAGCACAGAGGTCTGTTTCAATGGATGTCAGATTTGCTAATGATCATCTGAAATATAACTTCCTTTGATTTTGCCTCTTTTGAATCTTTCTCCACTTGTATTTTCATATCAAAGGGATTAAACCACTTTGCTGGACTTGAGGCTCTGTCCTTTCCAAAGGCTTTCATCCCATCTCAGCACAGCTTCCCAGCCGCACACACAGGACAGGCTTGAAGAGGAAGAGCAGTCACAGGCTGGCCGAGGTTTCATAGGATTCGCTCTGGTCAGTGCCTTTCCCTGTGTCTCACAGAGGGTACCTAGAATGCTTGGTTCGCCTGGGCCAGGCCACACCTTCCTCCCTGTCCCTCTCTCCCCAGACTGTCCTGCACAAACCCTAGGTTCAAAGAGGCAAAGCTGGAATATAAGCTACAGGAGGGCCGGCTCTGTGTTCATCTTCTCACTGCTTTATGTCCAGCTCCTAGCACAACGCCGGGCTATAGTAGTTCCTCAATTAATGCTTGCTGAATGCATGCATAAGTAATAGAATGGATCTTGAAAACCTGATTGAAGGAGCTCATCTCTGTTGTCCCTGAAAATCCTTTTGACTTGATGGGCACATAGGATGGGCATTTCACTTACCCTTAGAAGAAATCTGGATCATAGAGGCTCAGTGCTGGACAGCTCAGCGCTGCCCTGCACATTGCCCACTGGGGCTACAGAGGCCACCCTCAGATGCTCTGTGTCTCTCTTTCTTCATCTTTAAAATGGGGTTAATGGGACATTGCATCACATTTCAATTCAAGGAGGGTTTACAAATATACATGCACATTTATAGGTAGATTAATGATTTTATCATATATACTTTCCTTGAATCCATATAACGGCTCCCAGGGGCTAGAGGGGCAGAGAATATTATCTGAGATTTATAACACAGTAAATGGAGCCAAAGAAGATTATTTCTTTGGACTACAGAGCAAATATGTTGGACACTGAGCTAGAATCCAAATCATACGCTGGGTTGAACGAGGAATAACTTCTGCAGGTGATTCCAGCACACTTGGAGAATGTAATCTAACGTCAAGTCAGAAGTAGACCGCCTTGTCCAGTCTGCCAGACACAGACAGTTTTCAGGTCTGGGCTGAAGTGTCCTAGGAAACATGCTCCTGTTTCTAGCACAGCACAGGCCTTTGCCTACAAGAATGTACGCAAGTAGGTTTAAAAATAAAGAAGGAAACAGTGCAGAAAATCAGCAGAAAGCTGTTTCCCCCAAAGAGCTGAGGGCAGGAGGATGTGTGTTCCCATGTGCCCTGCCCGATGACTCGCTCCCGCAGGCACTGTGCCTGCCCCGTCCAGCATCAGTGGCTCCAGGGCTCCGCGACAGCTCTCCTGCTGGACCCCTGCCTGGGCTCCGACAGCTGGAGTCCCCAGAGCACATGGGGCCTCGGATCGGCAGCATTTCTCACTGTCTCTGGGCATCTGCGATCAGGTTTTCCATAAGTCTCCTGCCTAGGGGCAGAGCAAACCCTGCTTAGGGTCTGCAAAAACCCCAAGCATTTCCCTCTGTTCCGTTTGTCTTGGTAACTGCCACAGGAGGGGCAGGGAGCAGGTGGCCTGTGTGCAACGGGAAATGGCCAATGGATGTCTGAGACAAATGGCCCTTCAGGGGGTCCTTCGCCGTGATACTTTAAAAGTCACCTTGAAATTGCTACCATTACCCAGGCAGTGAAAGAAACAGTCCGCCAGGATCATCCAACTTTCCAGGATGGGTGAAATGGGCTTTGGTTAGCCAGTGGGCAGTTGGCTCAGTGGTTCACAGAACTTTCACCAGGTTGTTCTGCCAGGAACACAGTTTCCTGGTGTTCCATCTGGCCAAACCTGTGGCTGGAGTCACTCCAAAAGTGGCAGCAAGGAGTTCGTGCAAGGGACTGGCCCAAACTGTCCTGAGATGAGGCCAGTTGAGAGTCCAAAGAAGAAAGCAGTAAGCATTGTGCGGCCAGTTCGAAGCACTCATTAGGGGAACTTGTGCGCAGAGTGCTGCTGCCGCGGCGCTCATGGCGGACGGTACGAAGAGAGGCCCAGGTGTGTCAGCAAAGAGGAGCTCACGCAGGTTATTTGGCCTAGGGCTGGGGTAGTGATCTTTCAGGGCTGCAGGCAGCGACCTAAACAAGTTTGTCAGCTGCCTGGGAATGTTCACCGCCCCAGCTTGGGTTCCAGTCTGGAGGGGAAGCCTGCAGCTGGGTGACAGAGTGGTCTAGGCACTTCCCAGCCAGGACAGAGGGAAAGTAGGAGGCACCGGGGGACCCAATGCCTGGGGAGAAGAGCACCTGGAAACCAGGGAACGCTTACTGACCATGACAGAAAAGGGCTGAGTGATAGTATCCTCAAGGTGACCTCTCCCAGGATCGGGAGCTCATAGAACTTTCTGGAGGGAGCAGTTCCTCAGGCTGAGCAGGAGCCATAGACATCAATATCTGCTGGCCGTGTACAGCGAGTACTGTGGAGCTGCCCTCAGACTGGAGCCAGATAAGCCTAGATCCAAACCTACCTGGGCACACACCACTGAAGCTGCACTTTCCCGTCTGAGAAACGGAGGGGTAACAACGACATTTGTCCCATAGCTTTGTGAGGATTAAATGAGCTAATGGATATAAATTTCTTACCACTGTGCCTGGCTCATGAATTTAGGATATTATCATTAATTGAACAGATTCTCATGGTCTTTCTTAACTTCATCAGAGTCTTAAAGCATTTAAATGGTTTTGAGCAGAATATCAGAAGAACATCAGATCGGGTATTGCAGGTGTCTGGGTGTCTCTCTGAAGTGTGGCATGTACTCCAAAAACATTTATGGCCCTTTTGAAAACCTTAGGGCATTAACTTCCTGCCCATCTTTATTTCTTAGAGGACAGAGAATAACTGACGAAAAATTTTTAATGGTGGTTCTACACAGCAATTTATCATTTAGTAAGTGCTCAGACGGCTGCAGACTCCCCACTCAGAGGGCGGAATGACCACTTGGTGCATCAGACACATGGTGCCTTTTCCTTTCTGTCTGCTGCTAAAAGGTCTCAGATACAATGAGAAGAGACAGCAAGATTTAATGTAAAGAGTACAGGCTTCGGGCCAGATGAGCAGGGATCCAAATATCAGTTTTGCCACTTACTTGGTGGCCTGGGTGTCACCTCACCTCTTTGGAACTCTGTTTTGTTATTTATTCATCCATTTATTCAATAAGTACTTTTTGAGTGTATAGAATGTTCCAGGCTATGTTCTAGGTGCTTGGGCTATATCAGGAAACAAAGCAGACACAAAAGTATGCCCTTGTGGAGCTCACATTCAATAGCACGAGAGAGATTATTAGAAATAACCTGACCCATAAGCAAACAATACAGTGTTTATATAACAGGGATTCCCATAGCTGGTGCCAGGGGGTTGTAATAAGCGATAATCCACCTATAATGCATGGACCATAGTAGGCATTTAATAAATTGTTGCTATTATTATTTTCATAATTGTTTCCGGATTTCTCAAATCCTTTAAACACTTAATGTGTAGGCTGCATCTAGGTACTTTGCATTTATTCTATTCATTCAACAAAAACTGTGGTGCATCTATTGTGTGGTAGAATCTGTACGGGGCACCAGGGACACAAAGAGAACAGGGTCCCTTGAGAATGCCACAGTCTGACCGACCGTGCACCAGCCTGTGAGCGCCCAGAGCAAGGCGACCTTCCGTCCTGTGTTTCCGAGAGTCGGAACCGTCCACTTCACTGACGCTGTCTTTTTTAATTCAGAGTGCCCGGCTATGGCTGGCGATTCTAGGAATGCTATGAACCAGGACATGGAGATTGGAGTCACTCCGCGGGACCCCAAGAAGATTCCCAAGCAGGCCCGCGATTACGTCCCGGTTGCCACAGACCGCACCCGCCTGCTGGCCGAGGGCAAGAAGCCCCGCCAGCGCTACATGGAGAAGAGCGGCAAGTGCAACGTGCACCACGGCAACGTCCAGGAAACCTACCGGTACCTGAGCGACCTGTTCACCACCCTGGTGGACCTCAAGTGGCGCTTCAACCTGCTTGTCTTCACCATGGTCTACACAACCACTTGGCTGTTCTTTGGCTTCATTTGGTGGCTCATCGCTTACATCCGGGGGGATCTGGACCATGTCGGCGACCAAGAGTGGATTCCTTGTGTTGAAAACCTCAGTGGCTTTGTGTCCGCCTTCCTGTTCTCCATTGAGACCGAAACGACCATTGGGTACGGCTTCCGGGTCATCACAGAAAAGTGTCCAGAGGGCATCATACTCCTCCTGGTCCAGGCCATCCTGGGCTCCATTGTCAATGCCTTCATGGTAGGCTGCATGTTCGTCAAGATCAGCCAGCCAAAGAAGAGAGCAGAGACCCTCATGTTTTCCAACAACGCGGTCATCTCCCTGCGGGACGAGAAGCTGTGCTTCATGTTCCGGGTAGGCGACCTGCGCAACTCCCACATCGTGGAGGCCTCCATCCGCGCCAAGCTCATCAAGTCCCGGCAGACCAAAGAGGGGGAGTTCATCCCCCTGAACCAGACGGACATCAACGTGGGCTTCGACACGGGCGACGACCGTCTCTTCCTGGTGTCTCCACTCATCATCTCCCACGAGATCAATGAGAAGAGCCCTTTCTGGGAGATGTCTCGGGCTCAGCTGGACCAGGAGGAGTTTGAAGTCGTGGTCATTCTAGAAGGGATGGTGGAAGCAACAGGTAAGATGCTCTTGTCCTCACCACGGTGTCCCCTTGCATGCTGTGGCTCCAGAGGACGGGAGTCCGTGCCTGCGAGCCCAAGACGGCACTGTCACTCGTCACTCCCTGAATCGTGACCTGTGAGGTGCTGGCACTCAGGGTGTGCTGACGGCAGTAGCTAACACTGATTGAACCTTCCGGACTCTCAGCACAGCCCCAAACTCTAAACGTAAATCATCTCACTGAACGCCGTGCTACCGGCACGGGTAAAGAAACGGGGGTGCAGACAGTTAAAAATTGTTCGCCCCAGAGCAAGCGCCACCGAGTCATAGGGCCAGGAGAGAAACCGAGGTGGAGGCGGCAAGTGGTGGCTCACACCTGTAATCCCAGCACTCTGGGAGGCTGAGGCGGGAGGATCGCTTGAAGTCAGGGGTTTGAGACCAGCCTGAGCAAGAGCAAGACCCCATCTCTACTAAAAATGGAAAGAAATTAGCTGGACAACTAAAAATAGGAAAAATAAGCCAGGCGTGGTATGCACCTGTAGTCCCAGCTATTGGGGAGGCTGAGTGAGGCAGGAGGATCCCTTGAGCCCAGGAGTGTGAGGTTGCTGTGAGCTAGACTGATGTCAGGGCACTCTAGCTCAGGCGACAGAGTGAGACTTTCTCAAAACAAAAGCAAAAACAGAAACAAAAAAAACCAAAAAAGGAAACCAAGGCATGGACTCCAGAGCCAGCCCTCATTCCCAGTGGGCCAAACTGCCCCTCCTGGAACAAGTATTCTAGGCAAATAGAAGTCGCTGAGCAAATGACTTGGGAGACCTGGGGTGAAACAAAGGTGAGCTGGTTTCCTTACAGCAGGACTCCGCGGTGTCTTTGCCTACTGTGACTCTCCTCTCTGGGAGAGGACAGGAGGCAGCATTTCCTGAACTCCTGGGGGCTTGCACAATCCTTTCCTTGGAGACACACCCATGCCCCAGGCTTGGGGTCTTCTGGGGGGTGGGGCAGAGAAGCCTGCCCCTCAACTTTGCAGCATTGCAAAACACAGTGCATCCGTGCTGAGCCACCAGCGCCGGCGTGTGTGCAGGAGAACACCCGCCCTGCACCCAGCAGGGCAGCTTCCCCCAGCTACTGACTCCCACGGGTGGCTGGTAGCCAAGACCCTCCTTCCTCCCTCAGCCGCTGGCCACACAGGTCTCTGTGAGGTGGCTCCAGGGAGCCCAAGGCCTGAGGAAGTCTGAGCTCTGGCTGGGGACTCCAGTCCTCACCGAATGCCCACTTGGGGCCTGGAGGAGCCTCCAGCAAAACCCCAGACCCTGCTCCTTCCTGCCTGCCTCTCGCCTTCCTTTCTCTTTTTCTCGCCAGGTGGACTGAGCAGCACGTCAGGCCCTCAGGACGACTTATAGCAAACTCACTCATGCTCAGAATGATATGCATATGTTTTTCTAGTTCTTGCAAACAACAGTGTGGGCTGGCTCAGTCTCGTTTTATAGATGTGGAAGCTGGACCCCAGAAGGCTTGTGCAGACAGCAAGTGGTCCATACTCAGGTCTTCCACTTACAAATCTAGAGCTCTTCTCCCACACCACACTGGTCCCCTCTCAATTAGGAGCTGTCACAAAGATGTCCACGTGCACCTTCCTCACCTGTGGGAAGCCAGTTGCAAGCTCAGAGCACCCACAGCCTTCCCATTCCAGAGCCAGTGGGACTGAGCGGGAGGTGCTAACAGGCTCTGGGGACTGGTGCTAGAGGGGTTTGCTGGGCCATCTGCTGGGGGCTGGAGCCTGGCCAGGCAGCATATGGTGGCAGCCGAGGGAGCCCCTGAGGCCAAGGACAGACAGGACGCAGGAGTGCTCCCCCTTGCAGAACTGGGGGCTTGTAGGTCACCCTGCCCTTGGCACGGAGGTCAGAATCGGAACACAGAATGAGTCTCGGGGGAAGAGCTCCACTGGGAAGCCACAAAGGAGGAGGAGTCAGGTCACAGATGTGGGGACAAATAAGGAGACCATGTCTGACCACTCCCCTTGGCCACCCTCACTGCCACCAGCCATGCAGCAGGGAGGGTGCCCGTGGCCCCACGGCAGAGGGAGTGGTGCTGATGCCCACTGGCTCCTCCCCTCTGTGTCCCTCAAAGTCAGCGGCCACAGTTGACTCATCCTGTTTGCCCTCCTCCCCTCCCATGACCTGGGCTACTCTTGCTCTGTCCGTGGGGGGCCCAGGGAGATGAGGGTAGGAGACCCCCGCCCACACCTCTTCTACTTGAATGGCTCTTTGGAGCTGCGGAGCCGGGCGCCGCTATGAATTCAGGCTGAGGCTGAGCCACACAGCGCTGGTGCATCCTACCTGTGTGAGTTTGGGCAGACTGCTGACCTTGTCAGCACAATGAGGAGACTCCGCCTCCTGCGGCTGTTGAGAGGATTCCAGATCAAATGGAGCAGCCTACGCACAGCGCTGTGACTGACACCTAGAGAACCCTTTCCAATCCCCGCTCAGGGCCCACTTCGGGCCTCCGCAGCTCTCCGGAGGCTGGAGGTGGGTGGCGAGGCTGAGGGCTGAATGCAGAGGCCCAGCCCAGGCGGCGTCCCTGAGAGCAGAGCGGAGTGCAGGCAACCAGCCCACCGTGTGCAGGGGACACTGGGGTGCCAGGCACGGGGGCACAGGGCGGGAAGCAGTGTGGACCAGGGGCTGGTCTGTATGAGACCCTCCCAGAGAAGGCTTCTCCCCAGCTCACAAGGAGCACAGCTAGTATCTTCCTTGGCTAGATGAAATCCCAGAAAGCCACTTCCCTGTTACCCTAAGTACACAGGCTTCTCATCCATAAACAAAGCTGCCCTGCCTCTCTGGAGAGACAGTAACATCTAAAAATAACACAGGCATGCCAGGGGCTGAGTAGACAGGGACTGCAGGCATTAAGCCTCCTCAGACCAAGGAGCCAAGCTGTGTGTGTGTGTGTGTGTGTGTGTGTGTGTGTATGGGCACGTGTGTCAGTGTGGAATCTTCTGTCATGTGCGTCTACCTGAAACAATCCCATATGTTCCAAATGCCTGTTAACTTCTCTGTGTTCACTCACTCTGAATTCATCTTCACTCAAGCCTCTTTCCTACCTCTTCTCTCATCTCAATCTTCTAAATCTGAATGCTGTTTTCAGGAACCATGTCCCTGCCTCCAGCTATTCCAAAAATTATTTGCTCCAGTCTCTAGGTACCTACTCCAGAATCTTGCATGTTAATTTCTAATCTTTTGCCCCCACCCAAGTTTGAGATCCTCCAGGGCAAGGACCATGTCTTAGTCAGCTTAGCACAAAGTAGATGTCCAGCAAATACTTGATGAATGACAGGATGGATGGGTGATAGGATGGAGGATAGGATGGATGGATGGATGATTGGATGAATGGATGAAAAGATGGATGGATAATTGGACTGATGGATGACTGGAAGGATGGATGAATGATTGAATGGATGGATGGATGGATGATTGGACAGATGGTTGGATGACAAGATAGATGGATGATAGAATGCATGGATGGATAGATGATTGGACAGATAGATGAATGATAGGATGGATGGATGATAGGCTGGATGGATGGACGATTGGATGGATGGATGATAGGATGGATGATTGTACAGATGAATGGATGATAGGAAGGATAGATGGATGATTGGATAAATGATAGGATGAATCGATGGATGATTGGACATATGAATGGATGATAAGAAGGATGATTGGATAGATGGATGATAGGATGGATGGATGGATGGATGATTGGATGGATGGATAAATAGATGAATTAATGCATGCATAAATGGATGGATGAATGCATCTTACTGCATGTGGTTTCTGTTTCCCCAGGCATGACTTGCCAAGCACGGAGCTCCTACATGGATACAGAGGTGCTCTGGGGCCACCGATTCACACCAGTGCTCACCTTGGAAAAGGGTTTCTATGAGGTGGACTACAACACCTTCCATGATACCTATGAGACCAACACACCCAGCTGCTGTGCCAAGGAGCTGGCAGAAATGAAGCAGGAAGGCCGGCTCCTCCAGTACCTCCCCACCACGCCCCTGCTGGGGGGCTGTGCTGAGCCAGAGCTAGATGCAGAAGCTGAGCAGGAGGGAGGGGATGAGCCCAGGGGCTGACTGGGTCCCGGGATACCAGGGGCTCGGTGTGAGAGCCACACTCTCCTCACAACCTCACCTCACTGGCTCCTGGGAGCACGGGCACTGCAGGGGGTGGGAGTGGGGCAGGGGCACATAGCTGAGTGTGCTGCTTAGGGGCTATTTGGGGGGAGAAACAATATCCAGCCCTCCCAGCTCCCAGCTCAGGACCTCCCTGAGCAGGCAGCATCCTGGTTGGACCCCCCATGACATGCTGTCTCTATCAGCAATGGCCAAGGGGGCCAGGTCAGGATGAGTTTCCCCACAGTGAATGGCACAGGCTGGTGTCTGTCCTGTCTCTGCCAACTGGCATTGAGTCACTTCCCTTTTTGGGTCTCCTAGACCCTGCCAGGGGCTGACACCTAGAGAGGGCTGTCACCCACTTCCTCATTTCCACCACCCCAGGGCCTGTCATGGATTCAGAGAGGAGCAATTCTGCCTGGGAAGAGGCCTGGGAAGCTCAGGCCTCTGCTCCAGGGTGGGCTCACAGAGCTCCCATGGGTTAGGGTCTATTGAGTCAGGAGGCAATTCCCGTTAAACCAGACCCAATGACCAGTTATTGAGTGCTATGGAGTGTACAGCCTTGATGGTATCTGCTATTATCTGTAAAGTATGTTTCCCTCTGCTGTGTTCTGCGTGTCCAATGTAGCCTATTGGATAATTGATATCCTTAGAGTGACTCTCAGAAGGTGGCCTGGGCCGCAGAGCCCCCCTGAGTGGCATCAGCACTTTCTGGCCCACCCCCCAACCACATTGCACCTGCACCTCCCACCAGAGGGAGAGCCCTGGCAGCTAGGCCTTTTCTAGGGCTTTTTGGCCCAAGCCCCTCCAAGTGCTTCTAACCTTCACCATAGTGTTCTTCGCAGTCTCAGAGAGCCTGTGGCGTGATCTGGGGAGAAAGCTGGGTTTCAGAAGGCAAGCCCAGACAGCTGGTGCTGAAACAGGGAGGGCAGAGGGGAAAGGAAGACAGAAAGGAAGGCCATGAAAATTTCAAAATAAGCGTCTGCCTCAATTGTTCCCAAGATGCTCTGTTCTCAGGGCAACACACTTTTGCTATCAAGGTGAATAATGGGGTGTGAATCAAAAGTGACAGGAGACTGCAGCGGCAGCCTCACTGTCAAGCCTGGGCTGGACAAACTCTCAGGCCGCTGCTGAGAAGCCCCTGCTCCCTGCACTTACACGCAGGGCTCCACCAGGCCAGGATGACACCCAGGGAAGGGGAGGGCTGCCCCCCAGCCTGGAAACAGGAGGGCGAGGGGAGTCGGTGGGAAACTTGGGAAGGGAGTGACTGTTAAGAGAACAAGAATAGAGGAGAGTCTTAAAATCAGCAAGTGCAGAGGCTTTTCTTTTACAATCTGGAGGCCCAGGAAGCGTGAGGGCGGGTTGTGCAGACTGCCAGGGGACGGAGCATGTGCTGAGACTGACAGGCTGCTGCTGAGCCCACCTGACCTGGAGAGAGCTCAGGTGTTCCCAGGCATGGAATTACGGAGGCCTCGCCCACAATTTTCACAGCTTCCAACTGGCATCGTCTTGCCCTGGGCACGAAAGCCTTCCCCAGAGTAGGAGCAGAGCCACAGGGAGGCCGAAAGTTAGGGCAGAGCAGAGGGGAAGGCTCTGGGTCTCAGGCCCACTTCCCTATGGGCCGGACTTTCCAGGTCCTGGGGCTGGTGGGAGAGGAGGGCAGCCTGGGCTGGGGAGCCAGTTGGCTGCCCGCTCTGGGCGGGATGGGGGGTGCAGGGGGGGTTTTTGTGCTGGGCTACTGGGCTGGACCTTCAGCGGTGGGACCACAGAAGATGTGGGCAAGGGGGGTCTTCCTGGCAGGAGCGGTGGTTCCAGGCATCCTTCTGGGTGGAGCAGGCCTGGAGGGAAGGGGAAGGGGTTGGTATCTGCCCCTCAGGGGAAGGAAGCAGATGGTGCCCCAGTGGGGGTCTGGCACAGTCAGGTGGCTGAGGCAGAGAGCCCAGTCCCATTCCGAGAGGGGAGGCCTTGGGCAGGGGCTACGGCTGGGGCTCTCAAGTTGTGGACCCCAGGCTTACTAACAGCCAAATCATTTCCACACCCCCTGGCCGGATCTAAAGCCTGTCTTAGTCTGAACAGGTCCCCGCTGGCAGTTATAGCCAAGGGCAAGGGCGGCAGCTAAGCGAGGAGGGCACCCGCCTCACTCACCTGCCTCCAGTGCAACTCTGGGCCGTCCTCTCACTCTGCCAGTGGCCTCCGTGAGCCAAGTCACATCTCTTAGCCAGCTGTGAAGGCTGCAGAGGCTGTTGAAGAGGAAGGGGGCAATATAGGCCTCTTCCAAAGCTCCCTGACAGGCTTCAGCCCAAATATACCAGATCAGTAAAACACGAACCCCAATGTGCCTGTTCTGCTGTCTATCTCGGAAACTTAAATGCTGGAAGGCCGCCCTTCCTATCTCAAGAAAATCCCTTCTTGGTGACCAGCTGATCTAACAAAAGTTTGAAGAGTTCTCCAGATCATTTTCTGGGAGTTCTTAAATAAAATGAACTTATTAAATGCAAAGTCTGATGATGGGCAGAGTTCATTGTTCCTGCGTGCAAACCACTCGCAGGCCACAGCCCGGGGTTGCAGGCTCTGAGCCTGCGCTGTCGTTGCTGACGGGCCACAGGCAGCTGAGCCCGGCTTCAAGACGGGGTCACTGGCAATTCCCACAGTCTTCAGCATCTCCAAAGTCCCAAAGCGACATCTCACTCGTCAGACCCTGAAAGTTTGGGGAGCTGACTTAACTTCCATGTCCTTCCTCTCCAAAACGTCCCCTGCGAGGGAGAAGCCTCTGGAAATTCAGAAGATGAAAGTTCCCACTAGCCCTTCTGTCACCACTAAACTGGGACCTGACAGGCGCGGTCACCATTGCCAAACACACTGCTCCCAGGCCAGGGCAGAGCCTTCTGCTGATTTCCAGAGAACTAGCGGGCTATGAAGAGAGGTCAGAGGGAAGAGCTGCTTTCTGGGGAAGCCACTCACTCTGTTCTGCTTGGTTTCTGCATCGAATCTCTTCTCCCTGTGCAGGACTTGTCAGTCTTCTCATGATAACATCACTGCACTGCTAAAATTCACCCAATAAAACAGATCGACCTCGTAGAACTCTCTATGTGGAATACATAGATGGCCGCAAGTTTCCCTTTCAAATTCATTGCCAGTTTGAGCAAACTTGCCCTTCTTGGTTTTGTCAACCTAAAAATGCAATGTCAACACCTCAGCGGTGCCGGCGCAGGCACGTGGGCGAAGGCGGGCGGCGGGCGGGCGCACAGGCATCAGGGTCCAGCGGTCCGCGCAGCCCCGAGGGCTGGCTGCAGGCGCAGAGCCAAAGCTGAGCGGGTTCTCAGTGTGGTCGTCCGGTGACTCATGCATTCTTAATTTTAAATAAAATCCACCTGGCCTAAGTAATGAATAACTTTACAAATACCCACTTCTGTTGAAATTTTGCAAATATCCACTTTAGGGAGCCCCTGGCCTGGCCATGCGTGCTCCCGGCCACGTTCACAGAGTGACCAACATCACGGAACGCTGGGAGGGCACAGGGACACCGAGACTTCATGGGGGGAAGGATTTCGGGATTCTTCAGGTGAAGAACGAGTGTTTCTGCCGACAAAGTTTTAGCAGTAGAAGATGTAAGATTGGCTTCTCTTCTGCTCTGGCCCAGGTGGCAATACCGAGGAGTTGAGACTGACGGCAGAGGTTGACTGGAGCCTGCGCTAAACCACCCTGACAGGACAAGCGGCCGCCAGGGCTCGGACTTAGATGAGAGGCAGCATTTGAGCTGGGGAAGGCCGCCCCGTCCTGACGTGAGTGTGGGCGTTTCCCGAGTCTGGCCTTGGCCACTCCTGGTGACCAGGCACGGGCAGTCTGTGCGGGTGACTGAGCCGAAAGCAGGCCCCGAGCCTCTAGATGAGCAGGGAACGTAAGGCCCTGGTGACACTGACAGTGAGATTGCTTAGTGGTGGTGATGGCGTAAAACAAAGACAGGCACAGGCCAGGACGCTCCGGCAGGGGTGGCCCTTGCCGGGGGTTGCACGGCAACTACTGCTCAGTGCCACATTGGAGACACGGGGGTGGGGGAGCATCGATCCCTAAGTGGCACATGTGCCAGTCGAGCCTGGATTGCAGTGGGGAAGGACAACTAGACACATACATCTACTGAAAGCAGAACTCTGAATGTTGCCCTCAGAAAACCCACCCTGGCCACCAGATCGGCTCTGCTGCAGCCAGAGGCCCGGCGCTGAAGCGCCCACGCCACAGGACTCTCAGACCGTAGATCCCAGCACTGAAGCGTGTTGGCTTCTTCATGGGAAATACACGTCTGGGAGGAAGTTTTGGAAACAGGCACGTTGTTGACTTTTTCTCTAAGGGACTATTTACTTTTTTTTTTTTTTTTTTGAGACAGAGTCTCACTTTGTTGCCCAGGCTAGAATGATGGGACTATTTACTTTTACTGAGAAGATGCTATTCAAATAACTTTGGCTCCCTTGAGGCAAAATTCCTGAATCCCAGAAGAGAAATTACTGAGAAAGCAGCTGTATTGACATGTGTTTTGAGTTGCATTTTTCTACCTAGTGGCAAACGTCTGAGTTGGAGAGAGCCGGGCTGAGTGGGGTGAGGCTGATAGCATAAGAAAGTGGCTAATATGTACATGCACGTGGCATCCCTAGGCATGCACCCACTGAATGTCATTGTCACGTTCCAAATCACTTGTTAAATGGGACTGGAGCCAGACCTGTGTGACTTGAACTTTTGAGGCAGTGACTGCTCTTCTACCTCGTGGTTACCTGGCCATTCAGGAATGCCCCTGCCATCTGCTCCTCTCCCAGAGGACAGTCTGCTGGCCGTGGTCCAGGGAGACAGCTGGGGAACAGGGAGGAGCACTCGCTGAACCAGACTGCACCCTGACAGATGGGGACATGTTCCACCTCCCCGCGTCTCCATCGGTAACTGCGCTGGGGAGGCTTTGCCCTCCTTCCTCTTCAGATTAAGCACCAGACTAGAATCTGCCCAGTGGACAGCCCTGTCTTTGAGGTTCTCTCAGCATTTTTGTATATAAGATAAACTCCTGTGGGGGTGGCTCCCAGGAGGACCCTGGCATTGGTGCAGCAGCTGTCCACCCTGACTGACCCTTGGGTCGTGGGGCCTTGTGGGGCATTCCAGCAGCCACCTCACTGTGGTGAAAGATTAAAACGACAGGTAAGAAAACATGGGGCCAACTCCAGACACGAAAGGGTCTCTGTCTTTCCATGACTTCAGTTTCCTGCACAGCCCGTCTTTCTGCAAGTGCTCACTGAGCACCTACTACATGCCCGAAGCAGGAGTGGGCTCTGTGGACTCAGTGTCAGTCGCCGCTTAGTTCCCGCAGCCGCCGTAATTAAACGCCCGAGACCGGGGAGTTTCTATACAACAGAGACTTACTGTTCACCGTTCTGAAGGCTGGAGAGTCCAAGATCGAGGCGCCCACAGGTTTGAGGCCGGTGAGGACCTGCCCCCACAGACGGTACCTTCCATGCGCGGGCAGCAGGGGCAAACCGGCTCCCTCAAGCTTCTTTTACAAAGTCACCAATCCCATCATGGGGGCTCCATCCTCTTGACCTCCCAAAGACCCCAATTCCTAATACCATCACTTTAGGGGTTAGGTTTCAACATATGAATTTTAAGGGGACACAAACATTCAGACCACAGCAAAGACGATATGTGTCATGAGCAGTGCAAGGTCAGTTATAACCAGGCCCGCGCAGTTTGTGTCTTTCCACAAGTTCAGGCTTTTACTGTTGTATATTCAGTCATCAAAGCCATGATCCCCTGGACTTCCCAGGGCGGCAGCTGCTAGTACTGCCCCGTCGCAGGCAGTCAGAGCCACAGCACACAGGCTCCAGCCGGTCCACAGCCAGCCAGCATTGTCTTGCAAGGCCCAGGCCTTGATTTGGGCAGAGACTTTGGCAGCAGATGCCAGGTGCTGATCACGAGTGACAGCAAAACGGTGTCTGTTCAGACAGCTGTGTCAAACTGGTGAAGTGTTGCTTTTTTAAATGTCCCTGAGTCCTCCGGGGAGGGCTGATAGTAAAGTTATGCCCGTGTCTGGTTGGGTGTGGTCTCTGCCCATGAGGCGGACAGATGTCACCTGGTCTTTGTCGGCAGGATACCTTATGAAATGTAAGATGGGATCCTTTTCTAAGATGGAGTTACTTAGGTCAAGGATGCAATACCGTACAATCTCCTACTGCCATGGGATGTACTGTCTGGTGGGGAGAGGGGAGAGACAGAAACAGAAAAGCACACAAACAAATGCAAGAGTCACAGTTTGCAGTAAGGGCTGTGAAGGAAACAGAGTCACAGTTTGCAGTAAGGGCTGTGAAGGAAACAGGCTGCACCTGGGCTCCTTGCGCACTTGGAAAAGCCTTCCAGCCACGCGGCTCCGACCCTGACAGCTCATCCACACTCATTTCACGCAGGCAGCATCTGAAAGAGAAAACTAGTCTCTTTTCAAGGCCCTTAAAGTGTTCGCTTTAAAGGGGCAGTTTCATTGTACAAGGCCCTGCTACGAGCCAGACGTGTGCAGGACAGCCGGAAGCCAAGACTGCCCAGTGCGCGGGGCGAAGTCCAGCTCTGCCCCCCCCCAGGCTCTTCCCAGGCCCCTGGGCGCGGACTGCTGCCCCCCACCCCAGGCTCTTCCCAGGCCCCTGGGCGCGGACTGCTGCCCCCCACCCCAGAAGACCGGCGCAGTGGCCGCATGCGGCCTGCACAGCCCGTTGCCGCCGGCAGAGC